CCGCTTCCCTTCTGGAACAGTGGCTTTTAACCCTGGCACATCCAGATTTCAGCCTGGCCTGTGCGTAGTTCCGCAGAACACGCACCCCCCCCCGCCCCCGCCCATTCCCTCTGCACGTCCTGCTCACAGGACTGGTTCTTCTCTGTCGGCATACAGGGTTATTGTTCCCAACTATGCGTGCGTCTTTATGGAAACATTCCTCACAAATACTGTACATCAACTCCAGTTTTCTACCGGCAACCTTTCAGAACATCTGCCCGTGACCGTGGGCTTGGGTTCCGTCCAGGGAGGAGGTACCTCCCTTCCGTCCACGCATCAGTGATAGGTAAGGCAACGAGAAAGCAGCCTTTGGGCATCAGGAAGGCTGAGCTCTGCCCCAGGCCTGCCCTTGACTTTCTCCGTGACCTTGGACAAGTCACTTCACCCCATATCTGCAGACTTCAGCTTTACTTCCTTACTTGTAAAGTAGACCAAATAATCTCGAATTTTCCTTTCTGCTCTCAAATTTTATGCTTCCATGTACTCTTAGCCAGAAGTGATACTGTTCCACCAACCAGCCTTGTTTTCCACTGCTGTCCCCTCTGCACTGTGTCCAGTGATTTCAGAGCTTATTTAGATGTTTCTGCATGCAGAATAATGATGATGGTAATGATACCACCACTATTATACACTTCCCGTCTGATGCTACTCTGCTAAGCGCTTTACATGCATCATCTCATTTAATCCTCACAGGCCCCGAGGTAGGTTTTTTTATTTCTGCTTTGCATAGAAGTAAACTTAGGCTCAGAGAAGTTGAGTAAGTTTCCTGAGGTCACACAGCTAGTAAGTAGCAGAGCTGGCATTTAGCACGCAGTCTGTTTCCCGAGCCAGCGGCACTCTTAACCACTCAGTCGTGTGCCACCAGCGGCACCAGAGTGCCCAGTCAGCATCTGAAGAATGCTTGAACGAATGAACCAGAAAATCATTCCAAGAAGCAGGATAGTTATCCCGTTCCCCAGCTGGGGGCTGAATGCACTTCTTAGAGCAGTCAGTCCCCAGCGAGGGCCGGCGGCGGAGCTTCCTGGCTGGTTTACGGCCTTGGGGTCAAAGCTGCGGAAGAGTGACAAGGTCCGAGGCGCACATCTGGGTTGTCCCGTCGTAGCCACAACCCCCGGGGAGAGGGTGTCCCAGACGAATGCACTTTATCGCTCTTGGCTCCACTATCACCATGTAGAGCATGCGTTTCTCGTTTGTAAGCTGCCTACACTGGTGTTCTTAACCGCAGTACTGGGTTAGTTATTCACACGGAGACAGCTTCACGCCCGCCCCACGTGTCTAGGGTGGACCCGGACAGAGGGCAAGGCCAGCCCTTGACTCCCGCCTCTCGGCGCAGCTGCCCCGGTCTGCGGCCTCTACCTGGTTCCGGGGCGAGAACGTCGGGCAGAGACTCTCAGCTGCCGCGATGGAAAACGGCCATGACTTCCCTGATCATCACTTCCCTGATCCGTTTCCCCTTTCGTGGCTCATTAGTAAGCCAAGAAAGACCCTGAGCTTTCCCCTGTACATCCCCAAAAGCCTGTTTCACAGAAAACCTTTGCTTAGAAGGTCTAATTCTGTTTAAGAGAAGACCAGTCCTGGGTTCCTCATAGAGCTGCCATGGTTAGGGCTAGGGCCATTCCCAGAAAGGCACAGGAAATTGCATCTTTAGGGGGGAGGGGCCAGGGACGCTGTTCCTCATCTGACAAGGCACAGGACAGCCCCCAGCACAGAGAACGGTCTGGCCCCTACCCCCAGGCTAGAGAGGACAGCCAGAGGCCAGAGGCCACACGGCCCCGCCTGGTAGAACTGGGGATTCCCGCCTCAGTGCGCTGGAGCCTGGGCCTTCCCTGCAGGATGGTGGGATGCTCCAGGGGGACCTTCCAAAGGGTCCCTCCGGCCGCTGCGTGGAGAACAGCCCATGGGAAGCCGAGGGGTCAGGAGGACCAGGTCGGGGGCTGCTGGCGTCACCTGGACAGGATAATGCGGGAAGGCCTGATTCAGAGAACTAGACAGTGCGTGCTTACTACGCACCTAAAACTCTGCCTAGTTTTTGTGTGTTTGGGAGTCAGAGGAGACGTAGGTCCTTCAGAACTTGCAATTTCACCAGAAGACAAAAACAAGTTGTCTTTGAGAGTCTGACGACTGATGCTGGCAATAAGTATTATAGCTGCTCACAGCCATTTCCGTATAGTGTTGGAGGTTTCATCAGCCTTTTCTTTCCCCTGCCAAAAGCTTTGCTGTTCCCATTTGGTCCCGTGCACGGGAGAGGGCTCCAGGGTGGTTCAAACGATGCCAGTGGTCACAGGGAGAGGCTCAGGCAGAAGCCAGGCACCAGGGCACAGACACACAGGGGCCCCCTCAAGGGCCACTGGCTCCAGAGGCTCCTGGTTGTGCTTGAGGGAGGCCTTTTGAAGAGACACTGCCCAGCGCAGCCCAGCCTGGAGGCCGGCTGGCCTGCAGAGGGGGGCCGGGTGCCACCTGCACATCCAGGAGGCGGTTCTGCGGGAAGTCACGGGGCTGAGGGTCTGTGCAGGCAGAGCCCAGGGCCGGCAGGTCCGACAGGGCCCGGGTCGGGTTCCTCTCCGGGCCCGCGGTGGCTGCCGTGTGTCCTGAGTGCCACCCCACTCGTCTGGGGAAGGCTTCGGCGCCTCCCCGAAGAGAATGGGCCCCGAGCGCTGGTTTTGCATCTTTAAGAGACGCTGGGCGCCCTCACGTTTCCACGCGGCCAGTGGCCAGCGGCCAGCTCGTGGAAGGAGAGGCCCGGGCCCTGCAGAGCCACGTCGTTGGGGTCGAGACAGAAGCCCAGAGCGAGGGAGGGGTAGGGCCGCAGATGCTGGGTGACCAGGCGGTTGACGGCAGCCCCCACCTGGGTGGGGTAATGCTGACGGATCTGGGGGCTCGTGGTTGTTCGGCAGTGAGGGGTTGAGGTGGAAATCGGTGCTGGCCGGTCTCGGAGGCTGAGGGTGGCTGAGGTGGTTCCCAAGGCTGTGCCTGGAAAAGAGGTTGGAGGGTCGGAGGCTGGGGGAAGGGGCGTCCCTGGGTCTGTTCCGTCCAAACGCTGCTGAAGCAAGAGACACACCTGGGGGGACCGCTGAGGGCATTGCCCCATGCAGTCTTAGGTCAGCTCTTACCCATTTATTTGGTAAATACTATTTAGTACCTACGACATACCAAGCTTGGGCTAGACACCGAGGCTTTGAAAATGCACCACGGGCCGAAGAAGCAGTGCGCCCACTTTTTGCAGCCCAGTGGACTGCCTCCTGCCACTCCCTGGCGTGTGAGCTTGGACAGCACGTTTCTTCAGCTCTCGGAGCTGCAGACACATCCTCTGAACACCGAGAGGTATAATAGTGGCGTCGACCTCACAGCGTGGTTGGGGGTAGGGCAGGTCCCTGAGCACGTTGCCTGGTAAACAGGAACGTCCCCGTGAATGGTGCCCGTGACGAGATGCTGTCCCCGTGGCCCAGGAGCTCCCAGCCAGAGCAGAGAGCACCCAAGAACTCCGTTTAATGTGGGCTTTTGTTGTGACATCATCACATTGTCCCTCGTCCCCATGGGCGCGGATGTCCAGGATAGACTGTCGAGTGAAAAAGCGTGTTGCAAGAGCATGTGCACAGCACGGTCCAATTTTTGTAAAAGAAGGTTTGCCTACTCCATAGTAACAGACGGTAGATGGTAGCGGCGTTATGAAGAATGTGCATAAATAAGCATCTTTCGGAGGATGACCTCGAAGGGCTCTGGCCTGCGGTGAACAGGGTGACGTACCCCCGCAGAGTGGCATCAGGCTCAGAGATCACTTTCAGCTCGTGACAGAGATGGTCACGGTCACTTCCGTGTCCTCGTCTCCACGTCGCTAGACTGCGGCTGGGTGAGTGGCCTGGCCTGTGAGCGAGCATGTCTGTGTGTCCCTTCTGGGCAGAGGTGCTTAAAGCAGGCGAGCGTTTTCTGCTCTTCGTCTCCCCTTGCTGCGATGACCTGCGAGCCAGGCGTCCAGGAGGGGGAGTCCCCGTGTTCCTGCATCAGGACAACGTGTGAGCAATGGACTTGCCGTGAGCGACTCAGCTCTCGGGGCTTCTTTGTTACTGCAGCGCGGCAGAGCCCGCCAGGCCAGCTCACGGGGGACACTGTGTTTACCACCATGCGGTCAGACATTTCTGCATTAAAAAGGTTGTTTTTTCCTTTCGATAGGAAATGCACTAACAATGAAACTTTGCTCTGAAAGGCCTACATACCGCGTGAGCCCAACTACAGGACGTTCTGGAAAAGGCAAAACCGGGGCGACAGGGACAGAGCAGGGGCTGCCAGGGGTTGGGTTGGGGGAGGGAGGGGTGAGTAGGAGGGGCGAAGAGGATTTTTAGGGTCTCGAAACTCCTCCATGTGACCCTGCAATGGCGGGTGCGTGTCATCATGCGTTTGTCCAAACCCCTAGGATGGACGACGCCAAGGCTGAGCTCTAAGGTGGACCGTGGGCTTCGGGTGAAAACATCACACCAGTGAGGGCTGACGATTGTGACAAAGGTCCCACTCTGGCGGGCACTGTGCACCTCGGGGGAGGCTGTGCGTGGGGCGGGGGTCTCGACAGTGTGTGTGTGTGTGTATTTACATATATGAACTCTCAGTCTTGTGGTGGACATAAAACTGCTCTAAAGAATGAAATGTATTATTCTTAATTAAAATTGTGCTGTGGTACTGACCATTTCTACGATGTTAGCGAACAAACATTCCTGAAAACACAGATTATTAGATCGGGGAATTCACCAGCTGTGGAAAGTCTAGGTGCTCGGGGCCAGCGTAGGTGGCAGTCCACGCATTCGGGTGGAAGGCCAGCAGTCTGGGGGGCTCCCCATCGTTCGGGGTCTCTGGGACTCTGTGGCTTAGAGAGGCAAAGGCAGGCGAAACTGGGCGGGAAAAGAACGCCGAGTCAGGTTCCTGTGTGTGAAGCTGGGTCCCTACGTGCGCCCAGCTGCCTGCTTTCCTTCCAGTGTCTTGATTGGGAATGAGACCAGCAGCCCGGCCCGTGTCTATAAATAACCAGCCCACGACGATTCGTCCCTCCTGGTTGCGATCGTCCGAACAAAGAGAAGCAGCCCGTTCCCGAGTCGGAGCCGCCCTGACCACTCCGAGGCCTTGGCAGCATCTGCGTCTCAGAGAGAGATTTCAGCGGTGGCTGCACCAGAATCCTCCCAGGTGTGCTCAGCCCCGGTCCCTGGCCACAACTGAAGGGTAGAGTCGGCCGGCCGGCCCGTTGGGAGGCTCAGTGGGAGGAGAAAAATCAGAAGGAGGGAGGAGGCGTGCTCAGTGCCCGTGGGACCCAAAGGAGCAGCCAACTGTAGGCGGTTTGATCTTTTTAAAAATCACTTTCACTGCGACCACAAACTTGCCCTCCGACCTTGGCCATGGAAGGACTCCTTGAGATAAGCAGGCCAGGGCTGCTCTGCTGCTCCCTCCCTTCCCTCGAGTCCCCCGTGAATTGCAATCTGGTCTCAGCCCCCTGCAGCCCTGAGAAACTGAGTTCCTAGGCTCCCAAGGCCAGCAGCGGGGTCTAATCCCGCACACGGAGGGGCGCCTGCATTCCCTTGCCTCTAACTTTCTTTCCTGTGACTCCCGCCCTCTCGGCAGCTCTGACTTGTCTTTCTCTTCCTTGTCGTAGCTGCTGACTCCTCCTGGCGGTTTTCCTCTGCTGGCTGCCCTTCCTCCACTCTCCTCTTCTTGGAATCTCGCTCCGTGCCTGCCTTCCTACGGACCTCCTGCAGCATGGCCCCTTCCCGGGCCCGAGATCTCGGGACCCTGATGTCAGAAGGCCCGACTCCGTGCATAGTTTAGTGGTCAGCTGTCACCGTTTTGAAATTCTTAATGGATTTGGAGCAAGGGGGTCTCATTTTCATTTTGCAGTGGACCCTGCAAAGTGTCCAGCTGGTCCCGCCTGCAGGTGCCTTGGACTTTAGGACTTCCAAAAAAAGTACAGGGGCAAATGACTTAATTTCTCTGCCACACTTTTCTTGGGTTATTAAGTGGGTTCAATGACGTGCTTGGAAGGTGCTGAACACAGTGCTTGGAAGGGGCTGAACACAGTGCTTGGAAGGTGCTGAACACAGTGCTTAGAAAGTGTTGAACATAGTGCTTGGAAAGTGCTGAACACGGTGCCTGGCAGGCAGGCAGCCAGCACTCAGCAAGACCTGGTTAGGGTTGTTACTGTTTCGCACCTCTCTCCTCCCCAGAGCTGGCTCCCTCTGGCTCATCTCAGTGAAAGGGACAATCTGCTAATTGTCGGCTCCTCCCACTTCCCCGTCTCCACATCCAGTCTATCATCAGCTCGTCTTTATTCCGCATGTGAAATGCTTATTAAACCATTCCCGTCCTTACCTCTCTGCTGCCTCTGTGCAGATTTAGCTCCCGTGGATTGTTGCAATAGGTTCCCAATTAATCTCCTCGCCTCCTGTCTGGTCTGTTTTTTTCCAAAAGTGAGCCACTTGATGCGGCAGCAGAGATTAAGTCAGACTGGCCGGGCAGCAATTTACACAAACGCCCGTTTGTCCTTGAGGACGGAGCACGGCTCTTTGAAAGAAGGTGGGAATGCAATCAATATCGCTGCCTCCTCGCAGGCCAGGGTCTGGACACGCGTGTCAGCCTGTGACCATCACAAGGACCCTCGTCGGTAGATAGGGTCACCCCCTGCCCGGCAGAAAAGAAGTCAGAGCTCACGGAGGTGGCACGGCGTGGACGGTTTCACAGGGACAGACCTGGGATGTACAGCCAGATCTCTCCGGCTGGGAAGTACCTGTTCTCAAGGAAAAAGGACATCTGGGGGAAAACTGGCGACAACTGGGCCAGGACTGCAGGTTAGTTGGCGGTCACGTGCCAGTGTGAGGTTCCCGGTTTGGTCGTTGTACCATCGTTACGTACGACGTCGGCGTGAGAGGAAGCTGGGCGAGGCGCGTGCCGGGAGTCTCGGTGCTGTTCCCACACCTTTTCTGTCACTCTAAAATGATTTCGACATAAAAAAAAGTTAAAAGAAAAAAGAAAGAACCGTGTGCCCTTTCTACTATACACTCCACTGAATTTGATCTCATTGTCCAGGGCAGTCCCCGCTCCTCGCCACTGTACCCCCGAATGCACACACGTGCGCACATGCGCACGCTCCCAGGCCTCCCCCGCGCAGCCTCTGCGCAGCGCGCGCCGCCGCCCCAGATCGCCGCCCGGGTCAGCGCGCGCAGCTCCGGCTGGGACACGCCTCGAGGCGGGACAGGGATGGCGATGGGAGCACGTGAATCACCTTACGGCCTCGCTCCTGCGGCCCTCTCCCCTTCCGGGGCGACAGAAATGCAGCGGTGTGACTTGCTCCTGGTGCATCCTCGCAGACACCTCTCCTACCCCTCCCCATCCTCCGCGTCGCCGCCACCCCTCTCCCTCTCACGGAGTTGGCGGGTAACCTTGATGATCCAGCCAAATGAGTTATTTGAGATGGAAACGTTAATTTATTTGAGCAGATGGGTGTCAGCGCTGCTCTGTGAAAAGGTGGCGGTGCGCCGCGTTGGCCCAGAGTGCTGCAGATGAAGTCCTGGCTGAGTCACCGAGTGTGAACAGAATCATATGTTAGCGGCACCGAGGGAAATGCCTATTTAAGCTGAGCCCTTCGGAAAACAAATCATTACCCCCCGATTTTTGTCTCAGATCTGGGTTTTCACGTCTCTGACTTGCCCAGGGTCTGAAAAACCTGAAACTCATTATTTCTCTAAGTGTGGTCTGGCGACCGCCCACATCACAGTCACCCAAGGGCTTTGTTAACTCTGCGGATCCGTGGGACCCACCCCCACCCCCAGCCTGCAGATCCCACTCTCAGGGGTGTATGCCCGGGGACTCTGCAGTCGTAACAGACTCCCTGCGTGACCGTTACACACACGGCTGTCGGACCCCGCTGCTGAAATGGTGCCATCAAACTGCCTAGGAAAATCTTCCAAACAAACCAAAACAGAGCAAGAAACCTTGGGATTCGAGGTGGGGTTTTTCTGTTGTTCCATTCTGTTTCTTTCTACTTTCCTCTACTTTTTCAGATGTTGTGCAAAAAAAAAAAAAAAAGTATTACTTTCGCGGTCAGAAATAAATACATAAAGAGGATGAAAAGATACCACAAAGAGATTATTTGTGCACTAGAAGCGAAAGACGGTTTGGAAATCTCAGGAATTTCCAAGACAAGGGGCGTCCCTGTCCTTGGCACTGAACTTTCAGTCTAGCTGCTTCTCAGCCTCCCCATTCCGCCCCCCACCCCCCAGGCCCCGCCTCCCCCCCCCCACTGCCGCCTTCTCTAAGTGTTACATCCAATTTTCTCTTGAATGCATGTAGTGAGGAGACTCAATGACTTCCCAGGGGACCCCACTTATAGGGAAGAAGCACATCGGGAAGATTTATGGAATGTCTGTAAAATATGTGTGTAGAAACTCGCGACATTTTGATCGCTACCAAGGAGAAAAATGGACAGTTTCTAACCAGTCAGTTTCGTGAGCATTTTTTATGGGTTTTAAAAATTAATTAATCCCCCCCCCCGCCCCCGCTTTGTTAGGAATTCTTGGCACAGACACAAGCCCCGGAGAAGGGAAACATTGCCCACGGGCTGTGTGTCCAAACTGTCAGGTTTTCAATCCCGAGTCTCTGGGGGCCAAGCCAGATTTCACATGCTCCCCACGAAGCCGGGAGAGCCTGTCAGTGCTCCAGAGAAGGGGAGTACTATTAGCAGTGCCGCTGCACTTCTGCACCTAACAGCCACCGGCAAGCGTGTCACGGCCCCAGACGGCCCCTTCCCCGGGGCTGTCTCTGCACCCAGAGCCGTGTTCAGGGCGGACAGGAGCCTGCCTGAGATGCCGGTGGCCCCAAGCAGGGCCCCTCCACCTCCAGCGCCCTTGTCAGACGCAGGAGCATCGATTAGGCATCTGGTTTTTCTCAGCCTCGTGGGTTCCAATCCCTCCCCCCTGCCACCCCCAGCCTGCAGCCAAAGACAATGAGTGGAACGGAATTTCCCGGCTGGAGGAGGAAGAGCTCTGGAGGGGAGTTTTGGCCCTGCCTCCTGCTCTTCTCACTCATGGGAGTCCTGGGCTCCTTCTCAGCCTCAGTCTCTTCGTCTGTAAAATAAGAATCCAGAGCGTCTGCTTTAGAGGCATGTGATGAAGATTAGGGAAAATAGGTAAATAAAAAGTTCTCAACCAGTGGCGACTTTGCACCCTCCACTGCCCCCCCCCCCCCCACTGGGGGACATTTGGCAATGTCTGGGGACATTTTTGGTTAACTTGGGATGGGGTGTGGCTGCTACTGGTATCTGATCAGTAGAGGCCAGGGGCTCTGCCACACACCCTACAATGCACAGCACAGCCCCCCTCAACTACGAAGAGTCTGGCCCCGATGCCAATGGTGCTGAGGTGGAGACCCCTGACATAAAGGGCCTGGCAAGCAGTTGGTGATTAAAGTGGTAACAAAGAAAAGGGTGTGGGAAAAGGAATACAGTAAGTGTGCTCAGGACACCTTAGCTATTCTTAGCAGGGCGTAGATAATTGGTAGTTGCTTCCTGGAATGCCTCGAAAAAAAATGCGAGGGCTCCCAGCGTGCCCAGCGAGGCCGTGTCATGATTGATTAGTGATGTCTGCCACGGGCATGGCAGGGGGATGCGTCAGCACGAGTGCAGGCTGTTTGCTGACCCCCGACTCCAGGATGTCGAGCATCTGTTTCTGCCCTGACACTCTGTGATTCTGTTGCTATGATTCCGCGAGTCTGTCGATAAAGTTCTGGAGTCAGCATTATTTACAGAATATTTAAGCAGCCCAGGCTCCTGCGGGCTTGCTCGGCAGGGCAGGCTGGAGAGCTGAGAGCCAGGAAGGCAGAGCCCGCCCTGGGCACGGTAAAACAGACAGCAGCTGACGGGATGTGAGAGGGCAGCTCCCCACTCACCCCCCAGATATTCCCCCTCTCTCCCGGGCTAAGAATGTTTACTATTAGTCACTCCCCTGGATGAAAGCGTTGTCTCCAGGAGGCCTTTGTTTAGCCGCACAGAATCCTGCCTGCAAAGGATGAGCGTGCAGTCCAGGATGAAGTGTTAACCTGCTAAACTAGTTACTGCTCAGCAGGATGGAACCGAGGGGGGACGGGGCAGGGGCGAGGTTGCTTGGAGAGCAGGCGTGGCTTACGGAGCGGGAGTGAGAACCCAGGCAAGGCACAGCTGCAGGAAGTGCTTTTACCCTGACTTTACGGCTTGTCCTGGGACTTTCCTCCTTTTAAACCTGAAGACCCCATGTTCCAGGAACTCCCTCTGTCCCAGGCAAGCCGGGGTAGTCAGCGGGTCCCTTAACTTAGCATGGAAGGAACTGTGTAGTCCTTGCTGTAATCTGTCCCTCACGTGGCTTCCTGAATTTTCTCTCTGGGCCTCTTCCTCCCTTGCTCATGAACCCTCTGTGGCTCCCCAGGACCCGCTGAACGAGATTGGAACGCCCCCTCATGGTGTCCGAGGTGGCCCAGCCTTGCTGTCATCTGAGGCCTCCTCGCGCATCTGCCAGGAGCCACTTCAAACAGTGGCCGCCGTGGAGGCCCCGCGTGCACGCTTCTCTGTCCCTGGGTAGGAGAGGGGCCGAGGGCCCCGCACGCAGTGAAGAAATGCTCCCAGGTGAGGAGAGGCAGGCATGGCGATGCGTAGTGTCTCGTGGCGCATTGGTGGCTGGACCGTGGCTAACTGGAGACTTCTGACCTGTGTTCTCCGATGCTTTCACTCAGTCGTCCCTCCCCAGGGTATTTGCTGGATGCCCGTTATGGGCCGGGCACCGAGGCCGTCTCCTAGTAACGGGTATAGCGAGGGCCAAAGAAGCCTTGACACCTGCAAGTCCCTTCACTGCCTTCTGCGTGTGCCCTCACTTCACTGCTCACAGCCACCCGGTGGTGTGGTCACCGTTACTGCCCCCAGACACAGGTGAGGACACTGAGGCCGAGAAGGTCGCTCCGCTTGTGCGTGGGGACTTTGCCGAGGCTTGTCGTGTGCACCGGTGTGGTCTGTCCCTCTTGTGGGGAGAGACACAGGCCACTTTCCTGAGGTCTGGCCCTTGCTGCGGTGACTCTGCAGGCTGTCCCTCCCCAGCAAGCAGCACTCCGAAGGGGACACACAGACACTGGTGGAGCGTCTTCCGCCGGCCAGGCACGGGCACACGTGTTTTCCAAACCACCTGGAAAAGCGGCCGTAGTTGGGTCCAGGAGAAGCCGAGGTTTGTCGCCTCGACGTGGCTGGTCAAAGCCGGTGCAGATGGTTCGCAGAGACTGGAGGCCTGGCCTTGGATGGTGATGCCACATGACTTGTTTTTTCCGCCAGTCCTGGCCGTCCCAGAGGACAGGTCACACAATAACCACAGGAGCAGCTCTCTCGCGGCCTGGTACGTGATCTCAAGCACAAAGTCTCCGGACAGGAGCCAGGGAGCCACCCTCCCACCCATCGTAAAGCACAGGAGGTGGGGAGAGGCCCCGGGGCCATCCCAGCTGCCCGTGGCGGACAGCAGGTGGCGCTGTGGCCCCGGTTTAACAAGGACAGCGGGAAGGTGGAAAGGAGGGGGGGAATCCAGAAAGAAAAACTAGTGGAAAACAAGGATTTAAAAGAAGAACAATTTGTTCCAAAACATTTGCCTTGTAACGGGGTCATCTATAAATTCTGGGATTTCCTGTTTGCTGCTGGGCAGGCTGGCCGGCGGGCAGGCCTCCGGCTCCTCTGCAGTCTGGAAGCGTCGTGTGGGCCCCGCTCCCGAGCCCTGGCCTCCCCTGGCCCAGATTGGCTCTGAAATTTCCCGGCTTTTGTGCCCGTAAGCAGGATCCTGTGACAGCAGGTCTCCTTGAGCCCTGCTCCAGTTTCCACCGGGTGGGAGGAGGAGTGAGATCATGGTCATTTTTAAAGGAGAGGCTGTCTTGGTGTTCTTCTCCCCGTGCTCCCTGGGCTGCCCGCCTTGCTTGGAGGCATGGCGGTAGAGAAAAGAATA